GGCCCTGCTCTGTGCGTGACAGGGGGCAGCACCCCAACCCTCTGATTGGACCTGCTCTGTGCGTGACAGTGTACGGAGCCCCAACCCCCCTGATGGGCCCTGCTCTGTGCGTGACAGGTGGCAGCACCCCAACCCCCTGATTGGCCCTGCTCTGTGCGTGACAGGGGGTTTCGCCACAACCTCCCCATCGACCCTGTCTTGAGTGTGACAGGGGGCGGCGCCCCAACCCCCCAATCAGCCCTACCCTGAGCGTGACTGGGGGTGGTATCGCAACCTCCCAATCCGCCCTGCTCTGTGCATGACAGGGGGCGGCGCCCCAACTCCCCAATCGGCCCTGCTCTGAGCCCGACCAGGGGCTGCACCTAGGGATTGGGCCTACCCTCTGCCACCCGGGAGTGGGCCTAAGCCAGCAGGTCATTATCTCCCGAGGGGTCCCAGACTGTGAGAGGGCACAAGTGGGGCTGAGGGACACCGCCCCCCCCCCCGTGCCAGTGCACAAATTTTTGTGCACCGGGCTTCTAGTATTTAATAAATGAGTTTGGCAGAGTAGCAGGGTACAAAAATAACATCCAGAAATTGATGGCATTTATACATACCAATAATGACTCTCAGAAAGAAAAACTAAACAAACAATCCCACTTACCATTCAACAAAAAAAAATTTAATATGCTTAGGAATAAGCTTAACCAAGTAGGTAAAAGACTTGTACTCAGCAAACTACAGGATGTTGAAAAAAGAGATAGAGGAAGATATAAACATATGGAAGAATATATCATTTTCACGGATTGGTAGAATTAACATCATTAAAATGTCCATATTACCCAAAGCAATGTATAGATTCAATTCAATCCCTTTTAAATTACCAATGACATATTTCACAGATCTAAAACAAATACTCCTAAAATTTATATGGAACCAAGAAAGACCCCAAAAAGCCACAGCAATCTTGAGAAAGAAGAACAAACATGGAAGGATTACAATACCAGATATCAAGTCATACTACATAGCCACTGTAATTAAAACAGCCTGCTACTGACACAGAACAGACATATAGATGAATGGACCAGAACAGATTCCAGAAATCAACCCAAGCTATTACGATCAATAAATATTTGACAGCCCTGACTGGTTTGGCTCAGTAGATAGAGCATCGGCCTGCAGACTGAAGGGTCCAGGGTTCAATTCTGGTCAAGGGCATGTGCCTGGGTTGTGGGCACATCCCCAGAGGGGGGCGTGCAAGAGGCAGCTGAATCGATGTTTCTCTCTCATTGATGTTTCTAACTCTGTATCCCTCTCCCTTCCTCTCTGTAAAGAATCAATAAAATATATTAAAAAAAATATTTGACAAAGAAGGCAAGAGCATACAAGGGAGTCAAGACAGTCTCTTCAATAAATAGTGTTGGGAAAATTGGACAGATACATACAAAAAAATGAAACTAGACCACGAATTTACACCATACACAAGTGTAAACTCAAAATGCATAAAAAGACTTAAATGTAAGTCGTGAAAACACAAAAATCGTATAAGAAACCATAGGTGACAAAATCTTAGACATCTCTTATAGCAATATGTTTACCAACACATCTCCTAGGACAATGGAAACTAAGGAGAAAATAAACAAACAGGACTACATTAAAAAAAAACAAAGCTTCTACAAAGCAAAAAACAAACAAACAAAAAAAACCCCAACAAAATGAAAAGGGAGCCCACTGTATGGGAGAACATATTTGCCAATAATATATCTGATACAGGATCAATATCCAAAATATATAGGGAACTCATACAATTTAACAAAAGGAAGACAAACAATACAATTAACAAATTGGCAAAAGACCTAAATAGACACTTCTCCAAAAAGGGCATACAGATGACTAAGAGACATGAGAAAAAATGCTCACTGATCATCAGATTGATGCAAATTAAAATGACAATGAGGTATCACCTCACACCAGTCAGAATGGATACCATCAACAAATCACCAAATGACAAGTGCTGGTGAGGATATGGAGAAAAGGGAACCCTAATACCTGCTGGTGGGAATGCAGACTGGTGCAGCCACTGTGAAAAACAGTATGGAGTTTCCTCAAAAAATTAAATATAGAACTGCCACTTGACCCACTGATCCCACTTCTAAGAATATAGCCTAAGAAACCTAAAACACCAATCAGAAAGAATGTATGCACCCCTATGTTCATAGCAGCACAATTTACAATATCTAAGATCTGGATACAGCCCAAGTGCCCATCAGTAGATGAGTGGATAAATAAGGTGTGGTACATTTATACCATGGAATATTATACAGTAGTAAAAAAGAAGGCTCCCTTACCCTCAGAAACAGCATGTAGGGACCTGGAGAGTGTTATGCTAAGTGAAATAAGCCAGTCAGAGAAAGACAAGTATCACATTATCTCACTCATATGTGGAGTCTAATCAACAAAATAAACTGATGAACAAAATAGGTCCAGATACATAGAAGCATGCAACAGACTGTGGAATCTCAGAGGGAAGAAAGAGGTGGATGGGAGGGGAAAGAGATCAACCACAGAACTTGCATACATATATGCATAATCCATGGACACAGACAATAGAATGGTGAAGGCCTGGGGCAAGAGATGGAGGTGGGTTAGAAGAGGTCAATGTGGCGGGGGGCGGGGGGGGGGTATATGCAATACTTTCAACAATAAAGATTAAAACCAATTTTTTTTAAAAAAGCAAAAATCTCGGTGGTTGCCAGGGCTGGGGGAGGGATGAACAGGTGGAGCACAGGGCATCTTAGGGAAGTGAAATTGTTCTGTATGATTATTAACAGGGCACACATGTCATTATGTATTTGTCAAAACCCAGAGAATATAGGACCCAAAATGTGAATTCTTATGTAAACTATGGAGTTCAGTTAAAAACAATGTATTGATAAAAAAAAAAAAAAAACAATGACATAAGGACTCTGAAAAGAAAACAATAGCAGACAGATTGGGGACAAATCAAAACTTGATAGCAGCACTATTTACAATAGCTAAGCTCTGGAACCAGAGCAAGTGACCGTCAATAAGTGAGTGGACAAAAAAGTTGTGGTGCATTAACACAATGGAATACTATGGAGCTATACAAAAGAGGGTTCTCTTACCCTTTGAGACAGCATAGAGGAACCTGGAGAATGTTATGCTAAGCGAAATAAGCCAGTCAGGGAAAGACAAGTATCATATGATCTCACTTATATGTGGAATATAATGAACAAAATAAACTGACAAACAAAACTGATCCAGAGACATGGAAGCATGCAAAAGACTGAGGATCCTCAGAGGGAAGGGTGGGGGGAGAGATCAACCAAAGAGCTTATATGGCATAAAGGCATAACCCATGGACACAGACAGTAGTGGGGGCAAAGACAAGGGACCGGAGTGGGGAGAAGAGGGGGTTAATGGGAAAAGAGGGGGATAACTGTAATACTTTAAATAGTAAAGATAAAATTAGGGGGGGGGAATCTTGAAAAAATGACCCTGGTCAGGTAGCTCAGTTGGTTGGAACGTCGTTTCATAGACCAAAAGGTTGCAAGTTAGATTCCCTGTCAGGGAGCATACCAAGATTGTGGCTTCAGTCCCCAGTATGGCCACGTGCAGGAGGCAACCGACAGATGTAAATGTTTCTCTTCCTCTCTCTCTAAAAATCAATAAAAACGTATCCTCAGGTGACGATTAAAAAAACAAACAAAACTTAAATAATGATCCCTATAAAACTTTCGGTTTGGCAGGTAGCTGTTGAGTGTCATTTCCCACCCCCCTCCTTTCTTTCCTGTATTTGAGACAGGAAGGCAGGCTGAATTGCAAAACTACACAGAAAACTCCATTTCCAGCCTTAGCCAGTTTGGCTCAGTGGACAGAGCGTCAGCCTGTGGACTGAAGGGAACCAGGTTCAACTCTGGTCAAGGGCACATGCCCAGGTTGTGGGCCTGATCCCCAGTGTGTGGTGCACAGGAGGCAACCAATCAAAGATTCTCTCTCATCATTGATGATTCTCTCTCTCTCTCCCTCTCCCTTCCTCTCTGAAATCAATAAAAATAAATTTTTTAAAAAAAGAAAATAAAACCCATTTCTGGGAGAACAACATTTCTAGCCACAACACTGGGGAAAAAAGCTGGTCTCTACATATCACAAGAATATAAGGGGAATCCCTGATTTAGTTTTCACACCAAAATTTTCTTTTTCTGCCCTAAAATTGCCACTATGACACAGACACCTAAACCCCCAGAAGAATTCTCATCTTTTTGGCTTCAGGAAGCCAAGCAGGGACTATACAAAATGAGTCTGGAATATCATTTAGTGCCAGAAAATAAAGCAGTGCTCAGAAAATGAAGGAGGCATATTAAAATGACACATGATCCAATTTAAAGGAGATCCCATGAGCCAAACATGGAACAATTTGAGCAACACAGTGAACAATTGGATTATAACTCATAGAATAAAATAAATATCTTAAGTCCCTATTAATGTTAAGTAATGGGATAAAAATAATGGGGTAAAACAGACAGCTTTTCCTTAAAATTACTAAAGGTAGAAGCAACGAAAGAAATAGAAAATCACCAAAAGACAAAACACCACTGTAATAATTGCTCCAGGCAAGAAGGATGCTAAAATTAGTGAGCTTAAGTATGATGAGAAACAGATTTGCCTAGTCTCAAAGTATTTCCCCATAAGATATTCATTAAATATGAATAGGAAATATTTTCAGTGGAAAAACCAAGCAGACACCAATTTAACCACATTATAAAGGTTAACAATACCAGTAATAAGACATCCTATCATCATATACCCTTGGTATGATACAATGAGAAGGATTCAATATCATTTTTGTGGTATTCTTGTCAGAATGTATAATAACCTCAATCTAATGAAAAAATATTGAAGTACAAAAAGGACATTCATTAATGGGGAAAGATCTATATTTTATTTCAGAGGTCAGAAAACAATTTATGTGAAAAGTCTGATGGTAAATATTTTCAACATTTTGGCTATATATTCTCTTTTGCAACGACTCATCTTTAATCAACTTTGAAAGCAGTAACTGAATAAGTATGACTGTATAGCAATATACCTTTATTTATTAAAAAAACAGGCAGAAGGTCGGATTTAGCCTACTGGTATAATTTGCCAATACTTGGTTCACTTAATAGTATTGTATCAATCAATGCTAATTTCCTAGCTTTGATTATTATACTATGTAATAAGGTGTTAGAGAAGCTCAGTCAATGGTATGAAGGAACTCTGTACCATTTTTTGCAACAATTCTGTAAATCTAAAAGTATTAAAAAATAAAAAATGTTTAGATTTACCATGAGCTGAGATCAAAATCAAAGGTCTAGTCTATCTTTAAAAAAATGGCCCTAGCTGATTTGGCTCAGTGGGTAGAGCATAGGTCCTGAGGACTGAAGGGTCCCAGGTTCGATTCTGATCAAGGGCAAATGCCCAGGTTGTGGGCTCGATCCCCAGTTGTGGGGCCATGCAGGAGGCAGCAAATGAATGATTCTCTCTCATCATTGATGTTTCTATCTCTCTCTTTTTCTGCCTCCCTCTATGAAATCAATAAAAATATATTTATAAAAAGAAAACTCCTCATGGAGAGATATTTAAAAAAAAACACATGAGAAAACATCCTATATAATAAAAGGGTAATATGCAAATTGACCCTAACAACAGAATAAGCACTCGACCAGTCACTATGAGGCGCACTGACCACCTCGGTCCCTTTTCCCGGCCCACAGGCTCCGATCACCCGATGGCAAATGAGGAACTGGGAGAGGGTGGTGGGGGACGTGAGTGGCGCCAGGCCAAGGACCCTGCCCCACCAGTCACCCCACACACAGAGGGCAACCTGCAGCAGGTGGCAGGGCTGGCGAGCAGGCAGGAACAGCTGACCCCTCAGTCCCTTCCTCTGGCCTTCAGGCTCCGATCTCTCAATGGCAAATGGAGAGCCAGGGGTTGATGGTGGCAGGGGGTGGGGCCAGCTGCAGGCAGCTGGAGAAGATGGCCCTGATCGCAGGCCAGGCCTAGGAACCTTACCTGCTCACGAATTTCATGCACTAGGCCTCTAGTAAATATTATAAAGAATTGCTATTGGAAGAGAGGGGAATGAGTTATTCATGTGATGATAGTTCTGAAGACAGATGTTAATGGTTGCACAACAATGTGACTATACTTAATGCCATTGAATTGTACACTTAACATGATTTAAATTTTGTTATGGATATTTTACTGCAAGAAAAAATAGAAAAGCGTTGATACATTTATACCATAGAATAGTATACAGCCGTAAAAAAAGAAGGATCTGTTACCCTTTGAGACAACATGGAGAGACCTGGAGAGTGTTATGCTAGGTCAAATAAGCCAGTCAGATAAAGACAAGCTGTGGGAGCACCGCTCATCCAGGTCAGCCGAGCAGCTGTGAACCCACCCTTTGAACAGCTGCTCCCGCTGTGGGAATGCACTGACCACCAAGGGCAGTTCCTATGTTGAGCGTCTGCCCCGTTGGTCATTGTTCATCATAGCGACTGGTCAAGCGGTCATTCTGGTCATTCCCGTTTGGTCACTGGGCTTTTATTATATAGGATTATGTTGTAAAACCAGTATATTACTTACATTCAAAATTAAAATGTCTTACCCTTCCTTCTATTCCTGCCTTTGGCTTCTTTGTGCTCTTTAGGCTTCATCTTTTTTTCTTCTCCAGAGTCTCCATCACTCACAGTCAGTTTGTGCCTCAAAAGCCTATGTCTATATCTTGGCTTCTTAGATTCTTCAGAATCTGAATCTGATTCAGAATTGACTTGATTTTTTGCTTTTAAATGGAGAAAATAAATCAGTAAAACCTTCAGCCTTTTTTCCTTTAAAATGTTTTGTAAAATTATTTTGTTTGTTGACAATGATCATGATTTAAGGAAAAGCTCAAAGTTTTATATTTACCTGGGTGTCATCGGTGAGACCAGGCAATCGCATACATCAGACCTAACCTATTACTATTATTAAATATTGATGAAATATTTGTAGACTTTTTAAAGGTGAAAATTACCTTGTTTTAAAATCATGTTTATTAGCAGTAACTTAGAAAACATGCACAATTATCATCAGATACTCAAAAGAAGTAAAGGTAGTAAAGTTTTAAACATTTTAATAAACTTTAAATGTATGTATTAAGGAATGTCATGCATGGTCAGATAGTCTTCAAAGGCTGACCTGGTCTAACAATCAAATTATGAAATCCTATACATTAATTTGGGGAGCTCACCCTCATCTCCTGGATTTACTTCATTTTGTTTTCCAGTTCTTTTTTTCCCTTCTTCTGGTTCATCATCTGAAGATCCATCCTCCTCAGAGGAAAGATTGGCTTTAATTTCTTCTAAAAGCATCTTCTTGGCAATTCTTGAGAATAAAAACACAATAAATAAAAACTATATTGGTGGTGAAGTGTAACAAATTAAAAACAAAAAATTACCTCTTTCAAAAGAGACAAATGTGTTAATACATTTTATAGTATGAGTAAGAAATCATCAAAACATTGTTTTCACCTAACAACCAAAACTTTTGAAAATGCTCTTAGAACTTATATTTTCCCAATTCTGTGTAATTCTGCAATATATTGAAAAGTCTGACGGATATTTCTACTATTTTAACCAATTTCAACTTCATATTGATAACCTTCCACTCCTATACTTGCTCTGCTGCCGTGAACCAGTAACTACCATATCAGACATGCCCACAATAGTGAATTTACTTATTCAGACAAATGGCATTCCAAGACAAAACTCGACATGAGATGATTTATTCAGTAGCAAAATATATTCTTAGAAAATCAATCTGTAATATATTACTTCATTATAAAACAGTGCCTCAAACTGAGGAATAATATTTTTAACCCTTTACTTCATAAATTGTTAACCAAATGAAAGCATCAACTACATATTAAGTATTGAAGCAATCAGAAAGCCCTGATAATACTCAAACTAAGGCAGAGAAGGAACATCAGTGCTATTAATTACACACACAGTAAAAGAACACAAGTTATCATAACTGAGTTTCATTTTCCAAAAAAATAGTGCTATAGCTGTACTCATACCAAAATTTCTCAAGATACTAGAAGAACTTGCTAGCCCAGCCAGCATGGCTCAGTGGTTGAGCATTGACCTATGAACCAGGAGGTCACAGTTTGATTCCCAGTCAGGGCACATGTCTGGGTTATGGGCTCGATCCCCAGAGGGGTTTGTACAGAAGGCAGCCTATCAATGATTCTCTCATCACTGATGTTTCTATCTCTCTCTCCCTCTCCCTTTCCCTCTATGAAATCAATAAAAACATTAAAAAAAGAACAACTTGCTAATGGAAACTCTAATACTAAAAACATAAAAAAGTACTTCTTTAACACTACATTCTGTTAAAATAAAATATATTCCTAATAAATTTCCATGGTTACACTAAAGAAAAACATCTTTATTTTTTTAATATTTTTTATTTTTTTTACATATTTTACTGATTTTTTACAGAGAGGAAGGGAAAGGGATACAGAGTTAGAAACATCGATAAGAGAGGAATATCAATCAGCTGCCTCCTGCACAATCCCCTACTGGGGATGTGCCTACAACTAAGGTACATGCCCTTGACCAGAATTGAACCTGGGACCCTTCAGTTCGCAGGCCAAAGCTCTATCCACTGAGCCAGACCAGTCAGGACAGGAAAACATCTTTAAGTATAAAAGGAATCATGTAGCTTTTGTGCTAGACGAGCTGTTTTGCACTTAGATGTGCTTTCAAAATAAATTCATAAATCACAGTAGCAAAGAAATACCTATAGAAAGGTTCAAAAGGATGGTGGCACGATTCTGTTTTCCATGAACTTTTATAGAATAAAGTTCTACTCTGCTATCCAATGCTCTTGCTCATTCAAAAACTTGCAGCTGGAATTGCAGGACTTTTGTTATTTTTGGTTTTGAAATTCTTCTTTATATTTCTTAACATGCACTAACTTTTCAATCAACAATTCATTAATGGTAGGAGATGCTAATGCATGTTAATATCTTAATGTTTTATCAAAGGTAGAATTGCACCCAGGCCAGTTCTTCTCAGGGGTTAGAGTGTAAGTCCACAAAATGAAGGGTCACAAGTTCAATTCCTGGTTCGGGTCAGGTATCTTGGTTGCAGGCTTGATCCCTGGTCCTGGTCTGGGGTGCATGTGAGAGGCAACCAGTTGATGTGTCTCTCTCACATTAATGTTTCTCTGTGTCCCTCCCCCTCCATTCCACTCTCTCTAAAAAAAATTAATGAAAAAAAGATCCTCGGGTGAGGATTAACAAAAACCAAAAAAGGAAGAATTGCGATTTATATTAAAAGACATATAGTAAAGACACCTAAAAAAAGTGAAGCAAACTAAGCAATTACTTACTCAAATGCTTATTATATGCCCTTTGGCGCCCCCTTCCTTAACAGAGGAGTCAAAAATATTAAAACACAGAGTTACCATGTGCTAAAAAGAAGCCATAGATGATGACTTTGCATTTCTGAGGTTTTCTGCCCTGATTTGCACTTTAATAAAGTGATTAGATCATTCCCCTTTAAATCATACAGGAGTTGAGTTATAAAATGTTGCTCATAACCTTCTAGATCACTGGTTCTGAACCTTGGCTGCACATTAGAATCACCTGGGAATCTTTTAAAAATCCTGATTTCTGGGCCTCATCCTCCAGAAATTCTGTTTCTTTGTTATGGGGTTGGGCCACAACATTAGTAACAAAGAAACAGAATTTCTGGAGGATGAAGCCCAGAAATCAGGATTTTAAAAAGATTCCCAGGTGATTCTAATGGCAGCCAAGGTTGAGAACCACTGCTCTAGGCGGAGAGAGTGCGGTTCCAGTTTGTAGACATGAGAATATTTTCCCCGTCCCTTGGAGCCCCTGGCTCCCCGAGACCCGTAGTCACAGAGCAACAGGCTCCTGTACCCCTTGTATGGTTGTGTTTTCTGTGAGTTTGTTTTTCTTTTGTGTTGTTATTGG